ACAACGAGCAGTGAACCATCCAGCCAGGAATTAAACACAGCAGAACGCGATTACCCGTGGGAGCCAGCTGTGGGTGCCACGGATTCCGCCCGCGACTGGCGTCCACGGCCAGCACTCGCGCGTTTCTGATTGCTGCCAATTAGAATAGACCCGAGTGTAAACGAGGGCCCAGAGTAATTGCTGTCCACGCCTCGCGTCCGTGCCCTAGGGGCCCCCCAGGGGCGGCACAGTGTGCGCGAAGCCCCAGGTCCCGTGCACCAGCACAGCCGGGCCACGGGGGCCACTAGCCTCTGACCCGACCAGAAGGAGCTGCCTGGGGCTCTGGAGCAACCAGGAATCGGTGGCGGAGCGTCCTCAGAGCTCCGCCCAGATGGACCCATTCTTCCTTGCCCTGGGGAGGCCGGTTCCCGTATGGGCCCTGTTTGCTGATGGGAACACTGAGGCAGGGCTCAGTATCACGTGTTCAAGGTCACACACATGTAAGTGCCAGAACCAAGATCAGGTTTGAACCACCCTCCACCGGGAGAGCACTTTAGAAGTGAGTGTGTGTACGTGCACACGTGTGCACGCTCATCCGTGCACATGGACCTGTGAGCACACATATGCATATAAACGTACAGGCCACTCAGTGGGGTGATGGCCCAGATCTCAGCAGAGGCCCCATAGGCCCCCCAACTCCTGTAGCTTCCCGCCAACCCCAGACTGGATGCCTGGAATCAGGGAAGGCTGGGTGGGCTTGGTGCTTGGGACCCAGGAGCCCTGCCCACTTCCCTCCCCGGCTACGGGCAGCTTCCCCCCTGCCCAAGACACACTCTGGGGGCTGAGGGTAGCCTCCCCCCTGCCCTGGGGCTCTGGCCAACATGGCTGGTGATGGGGCATCCCCCAGGATGCTGCGAGGTGCTGGGTCTCCCAGGCCACTGACAGATGACTGTGGAAGCATTGGGACCTTCCCGGGAGATGGGTGCTGCCCCAGCCCTGGCAGCCCAGGAGTCTGCCCCCCCCCGCCCTGTTCCCATCAGGCCTCTACCCTGTATACCCTGACCTGCTGTCCTCACCCATCATGTGTCCACGGCTGGCGTCACTGTCCATTCACAGAGTTACCTTGTAAGTTTTTGCTGTAGGGATTTCCGTCGTGACGTCTTCAACGGTCCCACGTGGAAGGACATTGGCGGGTTTCCACCTTTCCTGTGCTTCTTTTAGCCTCTTCCTTTGTGGCATTTCAGGAACGGATATCTGATATTTGTGCCCAACCCTCCCTGCCTCTATCCTCCCTGCAGGGGGGTGGGTGGGACCTTGTGGCCGGAGCCTGTGAGGATTCTTCTCCTGATTTGCAGAAGGCCACCCTCCCGCTGGGTCCTCCCATGGTGGGGAGAGAGGGCCGATGCCCCTTGTGGGGCTCACCTCAGAAACCGTTCTACTGGGGCCGAGCCTTCAGCATCAGAATGTGGGGGACAGAGCCGTCCGCGACACCTGCCTCGGCCACTGTATTGCTATGAGGCCTCCGGGAACATCACAAGGCTTCTCAGAACCTCAGGCTCCCCTTCCATAAAACGGACAATTCCAACCGCCTGCAGATGGGGACACGTGATTGTGAGCCCTGTGTGCGAGCGCCCGGCCCAGAGAGCCAGGTGCCATGTTCCCCCAGTGTCCCCCGTCCTCTGACTCTCGCCCCAGCCCTCACTCCCCCCAGCCGCATGCAAGCGGCTTCTCCCAGGTGCACTCCAGGCCTGGGTCCCGGGCTCATCCCTCCTGCATGGGACCATCCCCTGGGAGCTTTGACACTACAGGGCTCTGCAGGGGCTGGTGTAACCCCCAGCAGGGATGTGGCCAGCTTTCCCCGCCCTCTGCAGTGGGGCCAGGGGACGTGGCTCCCACAGTGGGATGGAGCCTGTGGAGTCAGCTGACCCTTTGCCCCAACCCTCAGTTGGGCTGCGGGAACACAGGGTGGGAAGGGGCGGGCCTTGGGGTCTGGCCCTGGCAGGGCTGGGCCCTCTGGGGCTCCCCCGTCTGATATGTGCTCCTCCCCGACAGAAGGTGCTGTGCCTTGCTGGCAGTGGGACCCCACCCTGGTGCTGACCTGGCACTCCTGTCCCTTTGGCCTCTCCTTGCCATCTTGCCTCCTGCCTGAACAATGCCGGGGTTTCCAGTGCCACGTGGCCGGCCTTGCCGCCAGCCCCGGCTACTGTTTGGTCCCGGGCACCCTGCTCCCTCCTTCCCCTGTGAAATGCGTGCAGACATCACATCCCAGGAAGCTTCTGCCCGCCCCCCAAACTTGCCCTTGCACTTTGACTCCTGGACGCTCTGTGCCCCCGGACGCCCTTCCCTGGCCAGCCTGGCCCAGTGGTCACTTAGGTGAGCTTGGCAGACCCCATCCTGGGGACCTCACGGCCGGGGGTGCAGCAGATGTGGACTGGCATGGATGCAGTGGTCAAGCCCGTCCCGGCGACGGGTCCCTCAGAACGCTACAGCATGGCCGTGGTCAGTCCTTCAGGAGGACGGCATCCTAATTCCAACACCAAAGTGATCAACACGTTGTGTTTCAGCCTGGGAATGGCTGGGAGGGGCCAGGGACCTCTGTTTCCCCTTTAGACAATATGACCAACATGCGGAGGTGCATCCACGTAGCGGACCAGCTTTCCACCCTGGACAGGACAGACTCCCGTGTGGTGGCGCCCCATGGCCGCGGCAGACACAGAAGGACCAGGTCATGTGTGGTCCCCCGCAGTGAGCGCCCGAACAGACAGCTAGAGAGGAACGCGGATTCATGGCTGCCACGGAGAGCGGGGCGGGGAGCTGGGGGTGGCGGCTAAGGGGGGGCGTTCTTGTCGCCATGATGAAAACGTTCTAGCTGCCCGCGGGGTGGTCGTACGACTCTGTGAAGAGACGAAAACCACTGAGTTTCCTTTGAAATGGGTCAGTTACATGGGGTGTGGTTCATATTCCAATAAAGCTGTTTGTATGAGTTGAAGGAAGTGCCCAGTCCACAGGCAGGGACAGGACGGAGGGACTCCAGAAGCATCCCTTCCTATCAGGTGCCTGGCGTCCCTCCCCATGAAGGGGGTCTGAGGGCCTGCCCTGCCAGGAGAGGGCATGGGGGCACTACCCAGCGGGAAATCATAACACCCTGGCTGAGCTGTCCGTCCCTGCCCCCTGCGGCCCTTCCGCCAGCCTGGGTTCGCTGCCGGGATCTCTCTGGGCAGCGCCCCCCGTTCCCTGCTGCTCAGCACAGGGCCTGGCATGTAGCAGGTGCTCAACTCTCAAGTGTGGTCCCGGAGGCCAGGGAGCCTCTGGGTCCTTCAACTCAGGCCCCTTTGCTCCTGGCTGATGGAAGTGGCCGGGGCAGGACCCGAAGCAGGACTGGCATCCGGCTCACATTCGCAGAAATGTGGGGTGTGGAAGGAAGAGAGGGCCCCGTCTGCAGGCTTGGAGCCCAGGACACCTCCACGCTCATCCCGCCCCGGGACCCACCAGCCATCGTTGTGGACTCTGGGTTCCTGACACCCTCCTGGAAGGGGCTGGTGTTGGGGTCAGGAGTCATAGCCAGAGGTGCCTGAACTCAACCAGGGGAAGGCAGGGCACGTCCCGGGATCCCCGAGGCCTTGGTCCTCCGGGTGTCACAGACCATCCCCAGAAGACACGGGGGCAGAGGTGCCCCGTCATGCCTGTTGGATGAGATTCGAGGGGCTCCTGCCATTGACACTGTGGGGACTCCGGGCCAGGGGCCGCTCCAAACCTCCAGCCGGAACGCCAGAGCCCAGACCGCTTGCCGGCGTCCGCCATGGCTTCTTCCAGGGTGTGTCTGCTGATCACGTGGTGGCCACGTGCCGGCTCTCTAGGAGACGACGTGGACAGGCCATCGCCCCACGTGGTCACGGCTCCCTCAGATTTGGACACTCAGGGAGAAAGTGATCCGGGGGGGCGTTGGGTCTCCCCGCCTCTCACACAGAAATGCACACATTTCTCCTGCACTAACCTCTGTGTCCAGCCGTCCTGGTCTGAGTCCTGGCGCTCTGGGCTGCTCCGGAAAGTGGCAGAAAGTAGGGCCCTGGTTTGAGGACTCAGGCCCACCCACCGGAGGCTGCACTCTGGAGGGAGGGGACTCTGGGGTCACAGTGAGGGAGGGGAGATGCCCACCCAGGCGAGCTCGGGACCTGGAAGCGCTCATTTGGGGCCAGCCTCCCTCGGACTTGGAGAGCCCGACTCACAGAAACCCACAGGAAACACATATAAAACCACCGAACTCTGCAAATTCATGGAAACAAAACATATTGGACCGAGAGATAGGTTTTAAATATTAAAATATATTTATACACACATCATTTTAACTGAGGACACCCGCCAACAGACACTCCGCGAAGTCCCATGTGACCTGCGGCCGCGTTCCCATGAGCCTACTGAGGGCGCCACTGGGGTCAGAAACAAACCCTGCGCACGGGCTGATGCCAAACACGGGTCCGTAAATGTCTGCTTACGCACCGAGCTCCCATCCCGCTGCCGCTCTGAGGACGGGAGGGGAGCTGGCTGGACACCCCGAGAAGGTGGCTCCCGCGGGCCCACACCCCTGCGGATGGCCTCACACCTGTACCCCATTCTCAGGAGGAACCGGGACGTCAGGCCCGGCGGGCTGGCAGGGTGTCGTGGACAGAAGCCGCTGGGAAGCGCGGCCGTCGGTCAGCCCCGCGGCGGGGGCCAGAGCATTCTTTCATCCAGTGCTTTCGATGGAGCCACGCATAAGGCCCATGTGCGTGGGGAAGGTGGGGGCAGGGGGCTGCTCCCCAGGCTCTGGGACAGGACGGTGACCTCCGGGAGCCACGCCCAGGCCTGCAGGCCACTTTGCATCTTCTACAAGGAGCAGCTCAGGTAAGGTTGCAGAGATGGTTCTGACGTGTTGGGGGAAATTCAGTGGCTCGTGGCTGTGTCCTTCACGGGGCGGGAAGTGGGAAGGGAATAGCTGCTGGGCCTGGTCCTTCCTGAGCTGGAGGGACCGTCACCCGGGTCCCCCGGGTCTGGGCCGGAGGTGTGCCATTCTCCACGTGCCCTGCTTGCTCTCTCCCTGGTGTCTGTGACTCACACGCGTCCGCCACCAGCTCAGGACCCCTGGAATCCAATGGGAGGTTTCTGGGGGGTCCTCAGAACGGAAGGGGACCAACCGGTGAGGGGCCAGCCCTTCTGGGGAGAAATCCCACAGCGTTCTTGGGAAGTGCCCGTGGGTGGAGGGGTGGGCCGTCAGACGTCGCTCTGCAGCCGCGGGGCCGAGCGGGTGCCCTGGAGGTCCACGGGGCTGTCCGAGGCTGAGGACTGGCTGGGCAGAGAAGCTGCCAGGCCATCGGGAGACCCCGAGGGGGACTTGTACAAGAGGCAGGCGGTGGTGAAGAACAGGAAACCCAGCACCTGGGGGAGAGGAGGAGCTCACTGGACCGCGCCAGAGCGGCCCGCCCCGCCCTAGCCCCGGGCACCCCGTCTGATGAGCACCCTGCTTCCCTGCAGAACCCTTGTGAGGACCCCAATGCTCGTGGTGAGGGAACGAAAACACCATTTGACTAAAAGCAGGACCCAGAGGAGGCGGAGGGCTTCAGGGGCTGAACGGCGCCCAGCAGAGATGCCCCAGCCCCGATCCTCAGAACCTGCCGCTGGACACAGGTCTTCGCGGATGTCCCTTCAGTTAAGGATCTTGAGATGAAATCACCCTGGATTTGGGGTGTGTCCACCTGGCATGCCAGGTGCCCTTATAGGAACAAGGAGACACACAAGGAGAAGGCCACGTGACCCGGGGGTTGGGGCCGAGAAGACGCAGCCCAGATCACTCCCCCACCTCCACCCGCCGCCCCAGCAGAGCTCCCTGAGGGAACGGACCCCTGTGGGTGTGGGGCCTCTGACCTCTAGAGCCAAGGAAACAGTAAATATTTGCAGTTTTCAGCCCCGCGTTTGTGGCCCTCGCTCAGCGTTGCCGAGGCTGCTTTACCAGGCCCCAGGCGCACGGAGCTCACGGCCCCACAGGGCTCCCACGTGGAGGGCACTGGGCACGCAAGCTGGCCCCCGGGTACACGCGTGCGTTTTAACGTGTAAATGCCGGGTTTCAGTGGGAACGCCCATGCTGCTTGTTGGAGTGTCACTCGGCCTGACAGGCCTGAAGCCGCTTCCACTTTGGGATGGTGACCGGCTGGGACGCAAGAACCTGTCTGCTCCTCCGGCTGAAACTACCCCAGACGTTCCAGCCCTCGTGCCGACGCCCAGGTGTGGTTGTCTGGGTGGATGGACGTCCCAGGTCTGGCCCGCTGCTCTGGGCAGAGGGACCACAGGGCACAGAAGCAAGGAGCAGCCCCCTGAACCGGGTGTGACTTCACAGCTGACCAGTGCTGACCTCCAGAGCTGCACAAACCCTGCTCACACCCGGCGACATCAACCCAGGGGCCTGAGGAGCCTCCAGCATCCTCAAGGCCCTTGGAGAAAAGCTCGAGGCAAGAGCACCCTGGAGCAGCCCTCCCCCCACAGAAGGAAATCAAAACGCCCTTACGGACTGGCCTGAGCATTTCCCGTTAGTTTGAAGGTTTTGGGCCTTTTCCTCCAGTCGGGCAAAATTCAAACTATTAACAATACGCTTGTCCCCAGGCATCGTGAGCCAAGGGTCCCAGCAGGAGTTTCTCCTAACGGGGTCGAGCTGAGGAGAGGGACAGCAGCCTAAGGCCCAGGAAGGCTAGACGAAGAGGGAGCCGCTCCTGGATGGACCCAGCAGGCCGCCCCTGCCGAGCCGGGAACAGGCCTGCCAGAACGCACTCACACAACAAGCTGGCTTTCGTTTCTGCAGAGCCGCAGCTGACCGGAGCCCCAGGGCTGCCCACCAAGCTGTGGGGTGAAGGCCGGACAGTGGGGCCGGGGAGTGTCCCCAGCAGCCCGGCTTGGTGGCCCCAACCACGACTGCTCTAACTTGGAAAGGACCCTGCTCCTGGACACAAGCCCGGCAGGGTCGAGCAGGGGGTCTGAGCTGCAGAAAGGCCCCCGTGGGGCGCCTGGAGCCCTGAGCTAGCTGGAGAAGACACTCGGCCTCCTGGAGCAGACTCTGGAGCTCCCTCGGGGCTGCGCGGGCCAGCTGCCGCCTCTCTCACCTTGTACACCAGCCCAGTGATGAGCATGTAGCGGCTCATGGCCGAGTTCTGGTACAAGAAGCAGGAGCCTTGCTGCCCACACTGGTCCTGCCAGAGCATGCATGCCTTGTCAATCACCCAGCCGAAGGCGATGGGCCCTGGGATGCCCCCTGCAAAGAGAGGCCCGTCAGTCCTGGGCATGCGCCGGGCAGGCAGGGCAGGCGGGCCACACCGAGACCCCGACTGTGTGGGTTCTCAGAAAGGGGGCCTCGGTCTTCAGTGATCTCAGGGGTGCAAAGTGGGCTTCAAAGCTCCCTTCTGGGGGGACCTCTGTGCCCTGTGTGTTAAGGAGAAGCCACCCTCTGGGCAAATCAATGACCATGGGTCCCTCTAGTGGACTGTTAGGGAATGGCGTCCTTCGCTCACTGGGCAAAGGCCACCTGGGATGCACACCAGCCAGGTGAGGAGACACATGGTGGGTGCCCTTGTGCAGTGAACACACTGTGCAACTGTATCACTCCACAACGCAGTGCACAATACCTAGAGTTCTAACCACAATCCACTGGATTCCCAGTGCAAAGGATCTCTGCCGGTCACAGACACACCTGAAACGGAAGACAGCAGCATCAGCACTCAGCGGAGGGTGGCGGTGTACCATGTCACACCCCCACGCCTGCAGCCAGGTCCTGGCCCAGCCCCCGGCTGCGTCACTGCCTCCCGGGGTGGGAAACCCGGCACAGAGGCAGCTCGCGCTCGTGGGGCCCCGCACGTACCCTGCGGGATCTGCAGAGCTCCACTGCAGCGTGCTGCAAGGGAAGGTTCTGGACCAGAGAGAAACCCAGGCCCGGGGCTTACCGTAAGGTTGCCGTCAGTGCAGGAATGCTGCTGAGGAATGTAAAGATAATTACAACGAATATGAAAACCAGAAGGAGGGGCTTTCTTTGACAAGTTGAAGTGCATTTCCCTGCAGTAGCATGGCCAAAACCAGAGGATAAATTCTGAGGGACACAGCTACAGTCTCGGTATACCTGGGGAGCGCAACAATAGCGCAGATTACCGGAGGGAGGGGCAGGGGCCCTCCCGGAGCGCGGCGCCCTCGGCTCGCGGGCAGCAGCCGGACTCACCTTCCGGCCGTCCGCGCCGGGCGCTGCCTCTCCGGGGCAGCCCGCGTGGCAGGGGGAGTAGTAGGTGAGGCCGTTGGAGCCGCACACGGGGCTGTAGTGCTCGGGGCGACAGGCGCACAGGGCGTTGCAGGCGGCCGTCAGCTCCAGGTGGCCTTCGGGCAGGGGGCTGCGGGCGGGAGACAAGGCGGCGGTGGGATGGGGGCTGGCACTGGAGGCGGGCGGGGGGGGGGGTGTCCCGCCTCAGGACTCGTCCAGGCGGCCACATGGGCTCCAGCCGAGGAAGGCGCTTCCCACACGCGGCATCGCTGGGAACGCTCACGCCACACGCGCCACGCCCTGTTCTGCTGCGACTCCCCGGCCGCGTGCGCGTCCCTGACTTGGTCACAGCAGAGGCAGTGTGTGCCTGGGGCTCGGAACACAAACACCACGAGAGAACCCAGGCCAAAGCCCTCCGCTGTGGCGCCAGCCCCCCAGGCCGCGGCCGCATGTTTGCACAGATAGGGGTGTGCACACACAGCAGCGATCACGGACACAGACGTTTTCCTCTTTTCCACTCAAACAGGAAACACCATCCCGCCATCTGGTTCTTCCTGCTTGCCCTCGGGCACTATAACCTGCCGCCAGCCGCAGGCCCAGCTCCCGCCTCCCTCCCATGGTGGCAGAGCCCTCGTGGGGGGACACGGCGGTGGAGCCGGTCCCTCTCCACCAGCCCCGAGAGGACCGTCCCACCACGGCACGCTTGCGCTCTGCGCGACCTGTCCACTCGGCAGGAAACCCCGGGAGGGGCCCGCCCAGCCCACGGCAGGCCATCCACACCTGCTTATGCTCTTCCCCAAGGGCCACCGGAGGGCTGTTGCTCTCACATCCCTATGACAGGGGACACGTGAGAGCTGACCCTGGGCCACTTTCCGTGTGCACACGTGGAGGGGAGCTGGGCAATCACGGTCTCACTTTCCAGACCAGAACACTGGGCTCAGGGCTTCTTAAGGGCTGACGCTGGGCTGTCTCTGAGTGACCGTGAGCCGATGTCTTGCTGCTGTGACCCTCTCGAACAGTGACCAACGGCCAACCCCACCTTCCCCATCCCTCACGGCCACTGGTGCCCCCGACAGGTTCCCCCAACCCCCAGTGCCGCCCGGCCCTGACCTGCCGTTGTAGTTGGCCGTGACCCCCGCCACGGGCGCGCTGGGGCACTGGGCGAAGAACACAAAGGTGGCCAGCAGGCTGGTCAGGGTGCAGAGCGCACACAGCTTGACGACACCCGCACCGCGGAGCCCGCACTTGTTCACAAGGAAGCCGCCCAGAAACGTCCCACCGCCGCCTGCTGGCACCACCAGGTACCCTGCCAGAGAGAGGGGCTCAGCGTGGTCCTGGGGGTGCAGGACGGGGCCGGCAACCACTGGCTCTTCTTGTCCCCAGGCTACGGGCGGGGAGACAGAGGCCCAGAGCTGTCCATCTGTCCATGCAGCAGCCGCTGGATGGGGGCCGCTGGGGGAGCTTTGGTCCTGGGACCCCAGGAAGGACACTCGGCCACCTGGAGGCGGAAGGACGCAGGGGCAGGGCAGGTCTGGGAGGAGGAGAGCCCAATGGCCCCTGCCCGCCTGATGGGGCGGCCAGGACAGCGTGTTCCCTGGCCCACCCAGGCTCACGGGCATGGCCAAGCCCGAGTGTCCAGCTCTTCAGGGGGGCACCACCGCCTAAACCCTTTCTGCAGTGAGCCAGGGACGATGAAGGCTCAGGCCCTGGGGGGAGCACAGACAAGCTGCCCCCCCCCCAGAGCAGATCCCCTCCAGGAGGGTCTGCCGAGAGAACTGGCGGGCACGCTGTAGTCGGCACCCCCACCTCTCGGGAAGGACCATCGGGTCCACGTGACGGCACCACTGACTGGCCCACTCCTGCTCCCGGGGCGTTCCCTGCGGGACCACAGGCCCCACGAGCCCACACGCTAGAGCTGGACTTCCCAAAGATACTGCAAAGACCCCTCACCCATCTGAGAACTCACGACAAGGCAGAGGACCCTCCAAGATGCCACAAGTGTTCTCACCAAACAAGGTGGCAGCTTCTGAGGCGCTCAGGCTAAGCTGGGACTCCAGGAACTTGGGGCCAAAGGTGGACATGCCGGCGACAAGCGTAGCCTCGGTGGCCCCAGCCAGACACAGCAGGACGAATGCAGGGTTTTTCAGGAGGAGCCAGATGGAGCTGGATGGAGAAGAGAGAAGAGACAGAGGGTCAAAGTGGGCAAGAGCAGGGTGTGTGGAAGTACTGTTCCCGGGGGCCGTGGTCCCATCCACCTGAGTATAGAGAGGCCCTGGGTCTGAGAGGGGAGTGGAATGGGCTGTGAGCTGTGACCACTCTGCATTCATCCCAGAGAAACTGAGAGAGGTCGTGAGGCTGGGCTTTGGCTGGTGAGGAACGGGCTCTAGGAAACAGCTGCTAAACTGGGGAAGAGCCTTATCAGTGTTCTCCCCCTCCAGTGGGGGGAGACCCCAAGTGCATGCTTCAGTCACCTGCGGGGCAGCTGTGACGACCCAGGCAGATGGCCTGAACCAGGAGCCGAGGGCTGGGGGAGGTGCCGTCCCACGTCCAGGACTCGCCAGGCCCCCACGGAAAGGGAATGGGCACTGGGGGGTGGGGCCCCTTCCCAACTACCAGCCCTGGAGAAGGGGGGACAGAGGAGCCCCTCCAAGGAGGCTCCGGGTGGACATGGCCGGTCCCCCTGTTCCTCTTGGTGCATACTTGGTGGGGGCGGTATTGCCGGGTCCCGAGGGAGGATCTTGGCATTGCCCCCCCAGACCTGACCCACTGATTCCCCAGGGAAGCTGGCCTCACTCCCTCGCTGTGGACAGGGAGTGGGACCCCTGCATGGCCCTGGGGGACACTTGGCCTCAGGTCTCACTGTGGCCAACTCTGTGAGTGTCAGGTGTGAGCTCTGGTTGCTGTACCCCCATGTCCCTGCCGAAGGACGGGCTGGGCACCGAGGCCTGCCCCACACTGCCTGGCCTTGGGATGGACACCAAGTTTCTTTGAGGTCCACTTGCTCTAGCTAAACTGGGGTTCTGCATCTTGGGGTTCAGGCCTAGCAGGGCCTGAGTGTGCTGATCACTGCCGAGGAAATGTCAAGAATGGCACAGAATGGGGCACCTGGGGGGCTCAGTGGGTTAAAGCCTCTGCCTTCGGCTCTGGTCATGATCCCGGGGTCCTGGAATCAAGCCCCACATCGGGGGGGGGTCCCTGCTCGGCGGGGAGTCTGCTTCCTCCTCTCTCTCTCTGCCTGCCGCTCTGCCTACTTGTGATCTCCGCGTGTCAAATAAATAAATAAAATCTTAAAAAAAAAAAAAAAGACTGGCACAGAACAAGAGAGACTCCTTACAGAGTCTTTCCTCTGAGCGGAAAACATGGAAATCCCAGCTGTGGGGGCTGGAAGTAAAGACGTTCAGCCTCTGTGGGGGGCCCTCCCGCCTGCCTGTCCCGACTCCCTGAGCCGTCCCCAGCCATCTGGCCACTGAGCAGCAGGTGCCTGGACTAGGGCCCCAAGGTGTTTGCGGGTACGGTTGTCCCTGACCCCGGGGCTGGTGAGCGAGGTGGGCTGGGGGCAGAGGTCTCTCTGGAGCCCCCGGTCCTGGCACGCCGGGCCGTCTCACTCCTGCACCGAGGGAAAAGCAGATTGTGGCCATAAAGGAAACCATCCAACTGCGGCTGGGGGCAGCTCTGAGTGGCCCCCCTGGGCTGAAATTCTCAAGCCTGTAGCTCAGAGCTGTTCTCTGAAGAGAGCAGGTGCCAGTGCTGTCCTCGGGAGCCCCAGCCCCAGAGACTCAGCTTCCAGGGGTGCCTCTGGTCACCCCTGCGCCAGCCGGGAGATGGGCACTCTCATCTCAGTGCACTTGTCACAGCAGCTGCAAACACCTTCATGCTCAAACTCTCTTTTTAGGACGCAGGCTGACAGTAAACTGGACGTTGGAACCTGAAGCTATGATTAGCCTTTGCACGGAGGCCTGGAGCAGCGGCCAGGAGGGAGTTAAGGACAGACACTCCCCTGGGCCCGGCATCTCACAGGGGGCGGTGCTCACACTCACCCCGGCGCCATCCCCCACCCTGGTTCTCAGCAAAATTGATTTTCAGGCTTGAAGACTGATAACAATTCTCTTTTGTTTGGCACTTGGGTCCCACGTCCAGGAAGGGAAGGAGATGCCCCCAGAGTGGGTGCTGGGGGACAGGGGCTTGGCTGGGTTCTGCACCTGACCCGGCCCCGGACCTCGTCTGCTGGGCTCTTAGGTGTGGGGGATGCCCTGGGTTGGGCTGGTCCCCTCCCCGGGCCTTGCTCAGACCCACCCAGGCTTGGGGCGCTCGGCTGGGCTCGAGGAGGAGGCCACTCCCACCTGTGGCGTGCACACATCTGAGTCTCTTCATCCTGTGAAGCTAATAGGATGTCTTACCAATAGCTGGTTTGGCGAGCTAAGCCTGGGCACAAACCTCTCGGCCGCCATCCCCGGGGCTTCTGACCCGCTGGGGCCCCAGCGCCGGGTGCAGGGAATGGAGGTTCTGCTCCGGTGCGGGCAGACTGGCTGGGCTGGCCCCACACAGACGGTCTCGTACCCCTGGCCCCTGCGGCCCTGGGCCAGCTCAGCCTGCTCTGGGGGCGCCCTCAGGAGTGGGCAACGCTATGCTGGTCTCACAGGAAGTGGGAAGCTGGAGAACCAAGCCCTAAATGGGTCAGGGACCAACCCCCAACCCGTAGCAGGACAGCCCTGATTCCTCTGCATGAGGGAAGCAAAGCAGCAGACAGTGGACAGCGTGGGGCCCTCCCCGGAGGCCACTTTTGATCCTGATACCCCTTCACATCGCCATGGCAAACACAGGCAAAAGGGACTCATTCCCGCCACTAAGAGCCCCCAGCCCCCTGAGGCTGGTTAGACACGACTGTTCCTGAGCTCAGGCCCCGGAGTCCTGGAGGGGCAGGCAGCATGCAGTGACCCCGAGGACCCAGGCTGGCCACCGTCCAGGGGGCTCCTTTCCCACCCGCGGGAGAGGCCTGCTACAAAATGCCTGGGCCCGTGAAGAGGGGTGCTGGGCAGCCAGGAGCCGCCGACCCGCATCTCTCTGAGACCAGAGCAGGCCAGGGATCTTCCATCCCGACTGTATGTGCGGACCGCAAAGCCGGGCCAGGTCACACACAAGGAGGAAGGGAGAAGCACAGGAGGGCAGGGGCCGGTGCAGGGCCGTGAGGGCAGAGCCGGGGACAATCCTGTCCTCCCAGGGTCCTCAGCGACCTTGAGGCACAGGGGGGCACGAGCCTGGAGCCCAGCAAGTGACACTTCCTGAATGGTCAGAGAACACAGAGGAGGGAGGAGCTGGTGCTCCCACAGGACAAGCCCTAGGAGGAGGGCTCCGGCTGCTGCTCCCTAGTCTCCATTTTGGGACAGAGACCTGAAGTGCCCCGGGTCATGCAGGAGTTTTAGGATCTGTGCGCTGACCACGTGGCCCTGGACGGCTCACACGGACTCTCCTAGCTTGGGCTCAAGATGTGGCAGGTGCAGACCTCCCCAAGGGTCCTCAGGACACGGGACACAGATGAGAGGCACACATCACCCCCCGTAAGGGACTTACAGAGGCAGATCTCTGATGGTTTTCCCGAAGTCGGGGTTGCTGGCAGCCTTGTGACTGCCGTCCTCTAACTGGTGTGTTTCAGACACTCTCATGACCACGTAGCGTTGGGAGCCTGGAAGGACAGAGAGGTCAGGGGGAGTCAGAGACCGAGGGCGTGGCTTGAAGCCCCTCCCCACTCCCAGGTCTGGGAAGGTCCCCTGGATGAAGGGCGCAGGGACAGATGTGGTCCGGGGCTGCAGCACGGTGGCCGCTGACCTGCTGGCTGAGAAGAGAGAGGTGGGAGAGAGCCAGCAGCAGGACACACCCCAGGACCAGGGGGAGCAGAAGGAGCTTCTGACATGGAGAAGCCGCGGGGGGATGGTGCCCGTGGCCAGTGGCAGGGGCCAGGCCAGCCCTGCAGGATGGGGGCCCCGCCCGGACGGTCCCGGGTTCCCCGCCAGCCCAGAGGAGGAGGAGAGGGGCGCACCCACCTGGCAGCTGCCGGGGGTAGCCGAGGATGGGGATGGCGGTGAGGAAGGCGGCGGCCCCCGCCCCCAGGAAGCCCACCCACCAGGCGCCGACCCACAGTGGGTTCTCGGTGGTCAGCTCCGTCCTGTGAGGAGAGGCACGTGGGGTCAGCGTCCCATCCACGGGCACTCAGGGCACCCGCGCCGGCCATCCTTCTGCACGCGGGTCCGTGAAAACCTAAGCCTCCAGGTGGGTGGCCGTGGGGTGTGGAGTGACTGGAACCCGCACCCCCCACCTGCCCTCCTCCAGCTGGCCGCTCCGGGCCTGTAATCTGTCTAATAAACGGGTCATCTAGTGAGTGAGGCACCTTCCCGAGTCCCGTGAGCTGTTCTAGTGGCTCATCTCGCCCAAGGACGGGGTCGTGGAGCCAGGCCGGACGGAGGCTGCGGGCACCCGGCACCCGAGGCTGGTATTGGCCACGGGGGGTCTCTTACGGGCTCTGCACTGACTCTGGGAAGTCTGTCAGAACTGGGTTGAATTTGGGGTGCCCGGCCAGCGTCAGGGAGACCCCCACAGGGAGGAGTCACCCTGGCAGCTCAGAAGTCCACAGCCGCCCCGCACTGGGCCTCAGAGAGACGGCTCCCGGTGTCGCCTGGCTCCGGGGAGCCGCCGATCCGCCACGCCGTCCCTGCCCCCAGGCCCCCAGTCCACCAAAGGCCAGGGAGGCCCCTCGGCCCCCATGGCGCCATGCTGTCCCTGGGGGCAGGCAGAGTCAGGACACTCACCGGCGGCCAATTTCGGTGTAAACGTTCAGCAGGGCGCCTCCGATCAGGTAGCCGGCGGCTGGGCCGAGGATGGCGGCCGTGTAGAAGACGGCTGCGGAGAGAGGAGGAGCTGTGGAGGGGCCTCGTCGTGCGGGCTGGGGGCTCCGCTCAGCGCCGCCAGTGCCCCATCGCAGTGACGGGACCCCGTGTCCCTGGGTCGGCACTGCTGAGCCGCTTGGAGGGACAGAGCCCAAAGTGAAAAGGAGGAGGCCAGAGTCGGCGGACGAGGTGTGGCCAGGCCCCGGGTGCCGGCTGGTCTCCCTCGAATGTCCCTGAGCGCCTGTCCCTGGCAAAGCCTGGCCTGGCAGGAGGGACGCGGGGACGTGGTGGGCACGTGGCCAAAACCCAGAAACTTCACTCCATGTAAACGTGGGGATCTTGGCAGGAGCGGGAGTCTCGGGCCCAGCTCCTTCGGACAGCGAGGGGCTGGCTGACCCTGGCCCCGGGGGAAGGCCCGCGCGCACCTGCGGCCTCACCCGTGACCACGCGTGGCCAGCGAGGAGTGAGGACGTGCCTGCCCCATGCCCCCCGCAGCTGCACTCACCGATGTAGACCGGGGAGTAGCTGGACTTGACGTTCTCGTCCAGGTAGGTGACGCCCAGCGTGTAGAGTGGTGTGGCGCCCACGCCGTGCAGGAACTGGCCCAGCATGAAGACCAGCCGGTATCCGGACAGGCCCGAGGCGCGGTCCCGGCACACCACGCTGCGGTTGGCCCGGCACATCCCCACGCCCTCGGCCCCCTCGGCCTCGTAGGCGCCCGCGGTGAAGTGTGGCAGTGCGAACAGCAGCGAGCCGGCGCCCAGGACCAGCACACCCCAGCCCAGCCAGCGGGGCTTGTGTCCGCCGCCCCCGAAGTAGCTGACGAAGGTGAGGCACAGGCAGGCGGCCACGTCGTAGCAGCTGGCGATGAGGCCGCTCTGGTGGCTGTGCAGGTCGAAGCGGCGCTCGATGGAGGTGACCACGGTGTTGACGAAGCCGTTCACGGTCATGCCCTGCAGGAAGGCCGCCGCACACAGGAAGAGCAGGAAGCCGCGGGGCGTGTTGAAGGCCTGCAGGCACCTGGGAGCGAAGGCCCCCCAGCCGCACGCCGCGCTCTGCGGCCTGGCCGCCACGTAGCGCATCTCGGGGGGCGCCCGGGGGCCGTGCTTCTCAGCCTGTGGCGGGCACAGTGGCTGGCTGCAGGCGTCCAGGGGGCTGCGCATGGCAGGACCCAGGGCGCCGTGGCTCCGGGGTGAGCCGAGGGATGCCAGCCTGCTGGGGGGTCCGTGGCTGCACCCGCCGTCCGCGGCTGAGGGTTGGCTTGGGAAGACCAGCTGAGGCTTGTCCCCCATCGAGTGCCGAGGCATCTCTGCCTGGGGGGCGCAGGGGGCAGCTACAGAAGCCTCCCGGTGGTAGTCCAGTGGCTGGTTTGTTCTGCGAGAAGAGCTTCTGGTTAGAAAACTTACGTGGACGCTTGACCACACCAACATCTCAGAGAGAACACGCCCCGTCCTGGGCCTGGTCCCTCGGGGCAGCCGGTGGCTCCGCTGCCCACTCCCCAGTCTCATGGGGCTGACCTTCTGCCCCACCTGCATCCAGGGCCACACCTCCCAGACCCACACACCTGAACCAGGCCACAGTCGATGCCCGTGGTGGCCCCGGGACCACCCTGACCCACCCAGTCCTCTGTGGCCTCTGCTCGGTGGGTGTGAGCTGTGCTCGCTGCTCTGGAGGGACCGCCCTGGTGGACAGGGCCCCCATGCTGTCAGCCTCAGGTCCTCATTAAACTCACAGGCTTCCAGCACTCGTTTTAGTCGAGTCTGGAGGGCAATGAGGGAAGGGGTGGCAGCAGGGTCGCAGCACTTGCTGCCACGGCAGGTTTTCAAGATGTCACTTCGAGACACGTGTGCGGCGACATGGACAAGTTAGGAAGAAAAGGCGCCCGTGCTCCCTCTGTCTGCCGCTCCCTACCCAGCCCCGTTCCGGGGGCCCTGCCTGGGCTGGGGTTGGGTAATCCTGCCTCCCGAGGCTCCAGGGGCCCTGTCAGAAAGCGCAGCACCGACGTGGGTACACGGCTGCCTCCGCACGTCCCAGGCAGCTGGTTCTCCCACCAGAAACCAAGCAGCAGCGCGCTCGCACGCGCGGTGGGAGAAGACATCCGACCTTCGCTGTAGGCGCGCGGCTCCTGGGCCCTCTCCGCCAGGGTCTTCTGCAAAGCCCACCGTACTTCCCCCCGAGTGACCTCTGGTTATGGGCTGAGCTGTGTCCCCCTGGAGGAGACACTCTGGAGCTGTCAGCCATGAGAGTGCGGGGACACGGCGCCTTTGGAGAGGTGAAATCCATCAGCATGGGCCCCGATTCGCTGGGACTGGGGTCATAGGGAAAGGGGAGGCCTGGGCACAGGCGCTCGCACAGGTGGACAGCATGTGAGAACGCCGTCCACCAGCAAGGACAGAGCCTGGAGCAGGGGCTCCTGCGTGGCCACCCCTCCCCCTCAGGCATCCCGTTCCAGAGCTAGGATAGTCAAGGCCTGGAGTTTCAGCCACGGGTCTGTGGTCCTTTGTCTGGCAGCCCCAGGACTCTGACACACCCTTCCCCCTTTGCGTTGGGCCACTTCATGCTCAGAGGCTCCCAGCAGGTGTGAAGCCTGGCTTTGTCCAGAGCCCTTCTCCGGGAGCCGCGGAAACAGCACAGGCTTGAGCTCTGAGGTTTGGGGAGCAGCCCAAGGCAGGGACCCCGTTGGTGGTGACTCAGGACCACGAAGTGTCCTGAGACCCAGGTTCACCAGGCCAGCCCTGCCCCCACCGTGCACAGTCCAGGGTGTTGGGTGGACGCCGGCAGGGGCTCCTGCCATCCCGTTCTGTCAGCAGAGGCTCCTTCCTGCAGCCTAGCAACGCTCGGCTTTGTTGGGCCCTGGAGAGGCCTGGAGGGGATCGAATGGTGGTCTCCCCAAAAGACAGGTGCACCCAGACACTCAGTGTGACCTTATTTGGAAGAAATGTCTTTGCTGATGTGATTAATGGGTTGAAATGAGGTCATCTGGGTTTGGGTGGGTCCTAATCCAGGGACAAGTGTCCATAGTAGACAAGACACAGAGAAGTCGCATGACAACAGAGGCCGAGACCGGGCGGACACAGCCACGAGGAAGCCGGGGGGTGGGGGGGACAGGAGCTGGACACGCGGAAGGACCCCAGCTGGAGCATCTAGAGGGAGCGCGGCCCCATTGACACCCTGGTCTCAGGCTCTGGCCCCCAGCGCTGGGAGAAGCGCCCGGTTCACAGAGCTCTTTTTGGCGGCTGTGGGAAACTCACCAGCCTCTGGGGACGCCATGAGCTGTCCCGTGTGGCCCGGTTTCCAGGAGGCCACAGGCCTGAGGGGAGGTGGCCGCTGAGCTTAACAGACCCCTCAGAGCCTGTGGGCGTGCGACTGGCCGTCCCCCCGACACCGCAGTGAAGGAACCGGGACCAAGCCCGCGGTGTCCGTGTCCGGAGCCGGCCGCTCACCACGGACACGGGTCCCCACAGGCTACCTGCGGCCAAGTGCCGAGGCCGTGCGTGTCTGCAGAATTCCATGGCTGCCGTCCCCGTTGGCCATGAGAGCACTAGGGTCTTATCACAGAGCCGCAAGGCCAGCAGGTTCGAACATGGGCAGAGCTGGGGGGCCGCTCCTGGAAGAAGCTCTGGCCGGCTGGCAGCCCCGCACGCACAGAGACCCAGCTGCTGGAGCCTGTGGTCACAGAGGCCACCTCCAGCACGCACCACATCTGCACCCGACCACGGCAGAGCCCCGCAGACCACAGCCCCCAGCACGAGCCCCAGCACCACCCAGCCCCATGGCTCAGGCAGGCTGCCAAAACAGCACACGGAGAAGCACCGCAAAGGTTCGATGTTACCCCAGATTCCAAGGCCCAGAGGCCACCCTGTGCTTACGGCACCACCGTGTGTTTTCCTCTAGATGCGTGCTCGTGTGCACACACGCATGTGCAGACCCACACGCCCACGTACGGCCATCTGCAACCCCCCACACACAAACACCTGCTTGCACGTAAACCACACACGCGATGCAGGCCCAAGAGCTGGGACGGGCCCTGGAGCCCCGGAACCTCAACCAGGCCGGGGCCGTGGGAGCCACGGGAGCTCCGGGAAACCCCCGCAGACTGTGGCGGGTGAAAGGTCAGTATTGGGCCCGTGGGAACGACTCATGGGTCGGTGTCCCCAGTAAGTGGTTGCAACACCAGCCGCCATCAGACACCTGCTCATCAGCACCCGGCTTGCCTGGCACACTGGGCTCTAACCGTTGGTCCTGCCTCTGCAGGAGCGAGGGCTCAGGAGGGGGCCGGGCAGCTGGCTTCTGTGACTACGGACGGCCACAGCAAAGTTCTCCCTTTAGAAACCGGGAGCCACAGGAGCACAGCACTGTGCGGCTCCAAGTCAGTGGCGAAGTTTCCCTGCACCGACTGCTGAGGGTCTTGGACGTGAACATACGATGCTTACGCCGGCGCGCCGCATTATTTAAGGCAGAAATCCAGTCCGGGGTACCCTCAGCTGCATGACGCACTGGTGGCCGCCGCCTGTGCCTCAGAACTGAACAGCAGCCCTCGGAGCTGTGGGCCGCGAGCCTCCTCCCGGGCGGCCTCCTCCAGCGGCTCTGGTCAGCAGCCTGACTGGCGTGCGCCCCCTCCCCACTGTGCGGTCCCCTGGCAGCTTGGCAGCCAGGACGGAGCCTCTGCAAACTGTCCGTACGCCTGGAGTCCTGCCGCTGCCCTGCCTGGTCTGGAAGGCTCTTGGTCAGACACGGGATGGTGGGCCCCCTGGGGACACGGCGTAAGGAGGGGGGTGGTGCCCAGAATCGTCCCCTCCATCTGTAGACTGGTGGCAGAGCCCAAACGAGTCTGGAGACCTGTGACACTTGGAGTCTCCTAGCCACCAGGATGGTCCCTAGAGTTGTGGGACATTTCTGAGTTTGCACCAGGATCTCAGGTGGATCTGGTGCCAACATGTGCGCGGGGTGCCAGAGACAGCTCTGGACGAGGGTGCGCCGATGGTCATGCCAACGCTGGGTCTGAGGTCAAAGGAAATGCTGTGTGCCCAAGGACACCATCTCCCGTAGAGGCCTGTTGGGGGGCCCGGCCCACGGGGGGCCAGCAGCCCTGCCTGAGAGCCTCACAGCTGTAGTGGCCAAGCCCAGCGGCACACACCGGGACGTGCGGGTCCAGTGGGCACAGAGCTGCTCTGTCTCCGTCTCCTGGCCCTCAGGTCCCTTGTGAGAGGTCCTTTGGGATGTGGGCATGTGACCCAGGTTCATCATGGGCACTTTCTTTCCAGGATCTGCTCCCAAGATGGGCAGAGGGACACCCAGGTGGTCAGTGTGGTCACCCGGGAGAAGGTGACTTCCCGGCTGCCCTTCCTGTTGACCACCCAGGCAGTGTCAGCTGACCCACATTAAGGCCAGGCCGGTGGCTCTATGGACACTGTCTCTTGTTTGTATCTTAGGCCCCAGCGGGGAGGATGGGCAGAAGGTGTCAGGGGCTAGAGGACCCAGCGGCCCACCACACGGGGAGGGACTGGCCCCTCCGCGGAGGACTGGGCACCACTGTGCTTTCTCCTGGAGCCCTGAGAGCATGTCCATCACAAACCAGTCTGGACCAAATGTGTGCCTGCTTTCCACCTGCTGATGAAGCCTGGTGGGCACCTTCTGTAGGGGCCAACATCACGGTCAGTGGGTGCTGAGCCGAGCTGGAGTAGCGGGCCGGGCAATGCAGCAGGAGGCAGAGGCAGGAGGCAGACCCATGGGGAGCCAAGGGTCCCAGACAGTGCTTAGCAGGAAGGACAGGCCGAGAGGCTGCCCCTACCCCTTGGGGACTCCAGGTACCATCCGCTGGTATCCTCCCCTGAGAGAGCCCCGGGGCCTCTCCCACCTGGCGACCCCTTCTCAGTCCTCAGCCCGGAGCTACTGCTGATGCAGCCGGATGGTGGGCCCACCTGTCAGTCTGGTGGGCAACGCATTCCTGGTGTGTCTGCAAGGGTGTTTCTAGAAAGATTAGTACTTGAATTGGCGTACTCAGTGCAGGTGGGCCTCGTCCGATCAGTTGAACGCTGAGAGAGAGTAAAAGGGCTAACCCTTCCCCGAATTTCTCCTGCCTAACTACCTTGGAACCAGGACATCATTTTTCCCAGGTCTTGAACCGGCGCTCAGGTCCAGACGACCAGCGCACGTCTACCTCTCCTCTCCACGGCCCCCAGCTCACCGCCGCAGACAGCGGACCCGCCAACTCCTAACTGCATGGGCCAGGTTTCTAGTAATAAATCTTTATCTGATAAATAACCTATAAATATATAAAATATGTGTATTTATATATGTAATATATAAATTTATATAAATATATAATATTCATAACACATTATTTGTATTTTATAATATATAATATATTAACTTATATATAATATAATTACACAATATATATTTATATATTATATCAATAAGTTATAATATAATAATATAAATACATATAAACTCATATAAATAATTATAGAGATATAAAAACATGCATAGAAAGATCTAAGTACATACAGATACATATGTATCTCTCTGTGTGTCTGTCTCTCCTCCTGATAATTTCTGCGGAGAATCCCGA